GGAGGGAGGAAGGGGGAGGGAGGGAGGAAGGGGGAGGGAGGGAGGAAGGGGGAGGGAGGGAGGAAGGGAGAACTACAGACAAATACTCCTATGAGCCAAATGAAAATCCTCAATCAAAATATAGTCAAATCAAATGTTATATAAAAAGAAGAATACACCACAACCAAGTGGCATTTATCATGAAAATGCAAGGTTGGTTCATCAGTTGAAGACGTATCACTATCATTCGTCATGTTAATCATCTAAAGGAAAAAGATCACACATCGTATCAGTTGGTGCAGAAAGAACGTTTGACCAAACCCAGCACCCACTCATGAGAAAACTTCCCTCAAAGGGCGCCTGGGAGGCTCAGTGGGTTCAGCATCCAACTCTTGATTTCAGCTCAAGTTGTGATCTCAGGGTTTGTGAGATCAAATCCCGAGTCAGGCTCTGCACTGACACTGTGGAACCTGCTTGGGATTCTCTCTCTCTTCTCTCTCTGCCCCTCCCCCGGCTTGTGTGCTTTCTTAAAACCAACAAACAAAACTTCCAGCAAAAAAAAAGGGGTAGCCGGGAACTTCCTCAACCAGATAAGGGGCATCTACAAAAACAGACAGCAGCTTACATCACATTTAATGGTGAAACACTAGATGTTCTCCCTGAAACTAGGAATAAGACAGAGAAAACTACTCTTAGGAGTCTCATTCAACACCATACCGGAAGTCATAACCACTCTAAGGAAAGTTTAATAAATGTACACATATGGGGAAAAAAAAAAAGAAATAAAACTGTCCCAAATAACCTGTAAGAAAAACTTGTAGAACAAATATGTAAGTTTGGTGAGGTCGTGGGATGGAAGATTGCAACAGAAAAATCAAACTTAGAAACCATAAATTTAGAAAATACTATCTACGGTAGCTCCAAAAAAGCCCCATAAATACTCAGGTACACTCCACAGAAAACATGCACTGGGTCTGTGTGTTAAAAAATACAAAGTTTTAAAGAAAGACATCTCTAAAGACTTAAATAAATGGAGAGACATACCATGTTCAGGGATTTAAAGGTTTGACATAATAAAGACACCAGTTCTCTTTAAATGATGTGTGGATTAACTGCATTCCCCAAATCCCACAAGATTTGTTGATATAGGTAAGCTGATTCTTATATGCAAAGATGGAAAAACTAGAATAGTTTAAAGAATTTTGAAAAAGAATAAAGGTATGAGCATTACGTTACCTGATTTTTTTTTTTTTAATGTTTGTTTACTTTTGAGAGAGAGAGAGAGACAGCATGAGCAGGGGAGGGACGGAGAGAGAGAGAGACACAGAAGGAGACTGACGCAGGGCTCGAACCCACGAACCGTGAGATCATGACTTGAGCCGAAGTTGGACGCTTAACCGACTGAGCCACCCAGGTGCCCCTACGTTACCTGATTTCAAAACTGACTCTCAAGTTGTGGCAGTGGAGCCAGTATGGTGTCGGTTGGTGAAGGATAAATATGTAGATCATGGAACAGAATCCAGAGCCCAGAATAGAACCAGACAAATAAGGGTATTTGATTTTTTTACAAAGGTAGAAAGGCAGTTCACTAGAGAAAGGGTAGTTTTTCAACAAATAGTGTTGGGACAACTGGAAATATATATGCAAAAAAAAAAAAATGAATTGTGGTCTTAATTGCATAACTTATGCAAAGATTAACTCGAAATCAGTCATAGATCTATATATAAAAATATAAAATTTTTGAATAAAAACAGGGGCACCTGGCTGGTTCAGTCAGGAATATATGACTCTTGATTTCAGGGTTGTAAGTTCAAGCCCCACGTTGGGTACAGAGACTATATAAACAAACAAACAAACTTTATCTTATTTCTATTTTGGAGAGAGAGAGAAAGAGCATGAGCAGGGGAGGAGCCGACGGAGAGAGGGAGAGAACCCCATGCAGGCTCCACACCCAGCACGGGGCCCCACACAGGGTTCCATCCCGCAACCCTGAGATCATGACCTGAGCCGAAATCAAGGGGCGGATGCTTAGCCGACTGAGCCACCCAGGTGCCAATAAACTTTATTTATTTATTTTTTTTTTCAACGTTTATTTATTTTTGGGACAGAGAGAGACAGAGCATGAACGGGGGAGGGGCAGAGAGAGAGGGAGACACAGAATCGGAAACAGGCTCCAGGCTCTGAGCCATCAGCCCAGAGTCTGACGCGGGGCTCGAACTCACGGACTGCGAGATCGTGACCTGGCTGAAGTCAGACGCTTAACCGACTGCACCACCCAGGCGCCCCAAAACTTTTTTTAAAAAGGAAGAAAATCGTACTCACCTGAAGTTAGGCCAAGAGTTGGTACATAGGACATCAAAAGCCAAATCTGTGATAGGACATACGTCTCCTGGTCCACCGAGGGGCGTGCCACGTGCCCCCTGTACCTGGGTGGCCCCCGGAGTGTGGCCGTGTCGCTGCCAACCTGTGACCAGCCTCCACCAACCCCCGAAGCCCCTAGCCACCACCCAAACACCCACCACCCCACGGCCACCGCTCTGTGTGCCTCGCAGAGACGGGCCCAGATCTGGGGAGCAAACCCTGCCTGTCGGCACAGAATCGGTGAGGTGTTCTGTGAGGGTCAGGTGGGAGGCATTTTCGACCCGGGGCCAATGTGCCACCATCCACAAAAGCAGCCCGTTCCATATGTGAACTCAGGGGCCCAGCTGCGTTCCCATCTGTGACTGCCTTTTAAGTCCCCGGCCGTGTTGCAGGGTGAGGGTAACTCATTTGGGGCATGAGAAAACCAGAACGCCAGAAGAGAGCAGGGCCGTGGATGCCGAGGAAGAGGCTGGTCCACCGAGAGAGGACAGGAAGGAAGTCATTGACAAATTGGAGTTTATCTAAATTAAAAATGTTCAGTTGAAAAAAAAAAAATTAGAAAAAAAAAAAAGGAAAAAAAAATGTTCACTCTGCAAAAGGCACCATTCAGACAGCAAGAAGGAAAGTGACGGAGCAGGAGACAGATGCCAAGTCGCGCATGTAGAAGGGCCCCCGCAGACTGAGACCAGCCAGCTCAGTGATCTGACAAACGACCAGGCGCAGAATGGGCTCGAGATCTGAACAGACACTTCCACGAAGAAGCTACAGACACACAGATGCGCATGGATGCAGTGTGTGCGTGCGTGTGCGTGCGCGCGCAGAAACGTGCCGAACCTTGACAGCACAAGACGGCAGCACCCGCCTGTGGGCAAGGCTGACGGCATCCAGCGCTGGCGGGGCGAGGAGGGCAGGTGGCGGGCACACAGCGAGGCCGCCACGCTGGCAGGCAGTCCGGCCGCCGCCTCCAAAGCGCAGCACGCACCTGCTCATGAGTACTGACCCCACCGGTTTGAAAACGTACGTCCACACAGCCTGCGTGCCAGCGCTCCCTGCTGCGCTCCTGACACCTGCAGGCAGATACTCTTGGATAAACACTGGAAAGTCACAGAACGGGACAGAATCCAGCGATAGGTGATGAGACGAGCTACCTGGGAGCTGGGCCGGGCGGCGGGGGGGCTCCACACATCCCACGGCGAGCTTTAGTGGAGGCAAACTGAAAACAGCAGAATGAACGTAACCCATCCAACTTTCTGAGGTGTTTGCATCTCATTGTGCGTAGACTTGAGCCCAGAGAAATGTGGCCTCCGAGGCGCTCGTGGCGAGCCGTGGGGGCTGCACGCACACGCCCGCCCCCGGCCTCCCTGTGGGCCACACTCCCTGCCCCTGTGCCTGGAACCCCGTTGCCCCTGCTGTGGCCGCTGCAGGGAAGAGGGTGCTGGCCAGACATGCCCGGCCCCCAGCGCAGGGCACCAGCCCGGCCGGCTCTCTGTGAGGAGGGGTGTCCTCTGCCCCTGCCACCCCAGGCTCTTCCCAGCGCGTGTCCAGCCAGGGCTCGGGAGGGCTGTGCACACAGCGGAGCCACTGCATGGAGAGGAGGCCCCTGTCAGGCACTCAACCCCCACCCGGTGGGGACGAGGCTCCGACTGTCGGCGGGCCTGGGGCCTTCTCAGGCTTCTTCATTCCAGGCCCGTCACAGCACATTCTAGACAGAGTGCCCCCAAAGCTGAAGAAACATGTGGCGAGTGGAAGCGTCCCAGAGGCACTGGCCTTGTGTGTGTGTGTGTGGGGGGGGGGGGGGGGCGCGCCGGAGCTCTGTGCAGCCGGCAAGGCTTTGGTGACTTCTCCCGGGGGGCCCAGGGGCGCACTCGGGGCTGAGCAGGGCCGTGGGGAGCGTGTCCGCCTGGTTCCACGGGGCCCTGGCGCAGGGAGGTTTCTGACCCCCGGCCGGTCCCGAACACCTACGGCCCTCCCTCCAGGAGGAGGGACAGATGTGCACCACCCAGATGGGATTTACACCACCCAGTGGGTCCTTCAGTGTCTCGGTGACGGGTGCGGCCACCCCGGGAGAACTAGTCCCTGAGCCGCTCGCTGCCCTTGGCCCGAGGGAGGCCCGCGCTCGGCCCCACCCCCCAGACAAGCCAGGCCACGCGCAGGGCCTCTAGGGTGGGGGCCGGAAAGCTAAGACCCGCCCTGGGGAAGCCTAGGGCCCCCCTGCAGGAGGCGGCAGTGCACGGATGGCCAGGCCAGCCTGGAGTGTGGACAGGCCCTTGGCCTGTGCTGCCACCAGCCTGGGGTCATGTTGCCACTGAGCGTGAGGCAGCATCCGTTGCCCCCCAGGTTTGCGGTCATGCTGGCCAGGCCCTCACGACCCCGAGCGGCCTGTCCGTCCTCGCAAGTGCACCCACACGGGGGGCCACGGGGGCTGCAGTAGAAGGGGGTTCCTAGCCTGTGCTGAGACCTCAGTGGGTCCTGCTCAGGCTGTTCTTCCCACGCCTGCTGGCCCCACAGACCCCCCTTCTCGCTCACCCCGAAGCTCTGGAATGTGTACATCCCGGACGGTGAGCACATGCTTATGGCCACGGCCCACACTGTCCTCAACGTGCACAGAAGTGAGTGAGCCTGTGGAGGCGGTGGGCAGGGGCCTCGGAGGGAGGGCTGGGCGTGCAGGTTGGGCAGGGGACACTGCCCTGAGGACCAGCGGGCAGGGGGCCTTCCCCCCCCCCCCCCCCGCTGCTGTGGCACTGCCCAAGACGCTCCTGGGCACAGCCGGACCCCCAGCAGCTGCCCCTGGGAGGCCCCTGGGGCAGCAGGGTGGGGCCCCTTTTGGCCTGACTCCCAGACGCTTCTTAGGACACCCCTGGAGTCTCTGGAGTTTCTGCAGGACACGCTGGCCCAGACCTAGGCCCTGGAGGACGACGTGATGCTGAGGCACCTCATGGCCCAGCCTCCAAGGGCCAAGTATGAGCCACCCCACCAGATGGGCCTCCCTCCAGTCTCCATCCGTCTCCTCTCCTGCTCTGGGATTGGGAGCCAGCCAGGGCTGGGCATCCGGGCACTCACTGCAGGGGCTGGGGGTCAGCTGCCTGGAGGGCTGTTGTGTGTCAGGCCAAGGCGGCCGCGCAGGGAGCCACGAGGGTACCCTGGTGCCCCACCCCGCTCAGGACAGACAGCTGGAGAAACTAACCCCCCTCCCCCCCCATCTCTTGAGCAAAACTCGAGCTCCCCACGATGCCCCTGGGCCCGGAACAAGTGTCCCTGGCACCCAGGCCTCCCCTAGCCTCTCCTAGCTTCGAGACGCTCCCCAGCCCAGCCACCGAACATGAGCAACCCGGACCCCCTCTCGGCCAGGCCAACCTCAAGGCCTTGGAGCAGCTGCAGGAGGGAACCTCCACGGAGCCCGCGGCCGCACACCTGTCTCCAGATCTGGCCTGTCTGCTGCCCCCCCCCCCCCACCCCACCCAGAACCCTCTCTGGCCCGCCTGCTGCCAGAGGTCCCTCTCAAAGCTCCCGGTGAACCAGAAACTAGAACTCAGAGCTACAACACTGGGTCCCCTCCCCTTCAGCACCTGCCAGGGCCACCCCAGGGGCCACACTACACACCCGGCCCTGGAACCCCACCGGGACCCCAGTGACAGGGTCTGGCCAGCCCACCACACATGAAGCTGGAGCGCCCCGTCCACCTGTGCTGCCCCGCGGCCTGCAGCTGATGCCCCTCTCTGGGTAGAGACTGGCATGGCCAGCACGGAGGCAGGGCAGCGCCCCGCCACTGCCCCAAGGCTGCCAACGTTTCTGCAACCCTCTGACCTCTGCGCCCACAGAGAAGCTATATGCACGAGGGCCTCTGGAGGAGACGGTGATGAGTGTGGTGGCCCCGAGGCTCTGGGGGAGGAGCAGAGGCAACACAACCACCCCCCCCCGCGCCCCCCCCCGGACAACCAAAATGAAGACTGATGGGACCAAGCCCCCCGTGGCCCTGGCCGGTCCTGGATTCTGGCCCAAAGCCGGCGGGCCCTGTCAGAGCGGTAAGTGGCTGTCAGGGACCTGGGTATGGCCCACAGATCCACATAGGTGACCTAAGGCAGCTCTGAGAGCAGCAGGGGTGGGCGGGTCGGCCCCACCCTCACCCGCACAGGGCAGCAGGCTCCGCCAGACCCCAGGTCCTAGCAGTCAGTCACCTGGCACCAACAGGGCAGAGGCTGAGGCCAGGGAGACGTGCTGGGGTCCTGCGCCGAAAAGGTCAGACGAGAGGAGCCGGCAGGTGCGGACCTGGCAGGCCGAGACCCTCCGTCGTCTGCCGTCCTCAGCACCTGCCTCTCAGGGTCCCCAAACTCAGGAAATGTGACGCCCCCTGGAGTCAGCAGAAGAGGCTCCAAGGTGGCAGACTCCAGCACCCCTGCCCCCGTCTGGTTACTAACGGGGGCCTCCCCCTCCAGGGGAAGACACACACCCTTGGCTTCAATCCCCCCTGTGCTGTTTCAAGTTCAGTGAGGCGTTTTTGTGGTAAAACACAGAGCCAGCCTGCAACCACAGCACCCAGGGCTCTCGGCAAGAAGCGCCAGATGCCCCGAACAGAGACCGGCGGCTCGGCCCCGGCCGCAGGACCAGCCCCTGCCACGCGCCCCTGCACAGGGGTCGCCCGGCACGCAAAGCTGAGGTTCCCCTGTGCCTCGCAACCTCGGCCAGACGCCAGGGTCAAGACCATCAAATAATTTACTGCAACTCAGCCTGTGCCCAGCGGGCCAGGACGGGGCTGGGAGGAGAGTAACAGCGGGGTGCCGGTGGCGTCAGTTCACGACAGTCCGTGCAAAGCGTCCTGGGAGGTCTGCGGTCACTCTGTCCAGAGAGCCCGGGGCTGGCCGGACTCCGGGAGTGCTTCCTTCCTTCCTTCCCCTCCTCCGTCCTCCGTCCGCACCTCCTCCCGGCATCCGGCACCTCCGGACCCCGTGCCTGTGCTCGTGGGGCACAGAGGGCCAGCGGGCCGCCAGGGTGGACGCGGAGGGGACGTCAGGAGAGCAGGCACTTGCAGCTCATGCAGCCGGGGCCACCCTCGTCGGGCGGGCTCAGCTTCCGCACCTTGTGTTGCCGGATCTCTCGGACCAGCGTGTAGAAGGCGTCCTCCACACCCTAGGAGGAAGGGGGCCGGCTCAGAGGGGGACTCAGCAGGGGAGGAAACCCAGAGACCCCTGCCTCGAGCTCATGCAGACTTCCAGCCCCTTGCCCGCCTCCTCCCCACCCCTACCCCGACAGGCAGGAAGCCCCAGGGCTGCCCCCACCGGGCAGCCTGATCCCCAGGGGCTCCCCCACAGGGCGGCCCCAAGGTCTGGCTCCGAGCTTGAACACCCCGTGTCCCACTCCTGTCTGACCTACCACCCTCATCCCCCGTAGCCTGCTAAGGGGTCAGGGCCAACAAGGGCCCACGGGGATCTCTGGGGGCAGAGGGGCCGGGGCCCCAGGGTCACCGCTCCGGCCTGGCTCAGGGCAGCTCTCTCCAGGGACCTCCACCTCCCCCTGGAGCTGTGTCAGCCCAGACCCTGGGCCCTGGCCGCCCTCACTGCCCTGCCATCCGGGGAGACTTACAGCACTAGGGGCCGCTGGGTCACGGGGGTCCCGGAGGGTCCCAGAGGGTCCCGGAGCTGGAGCCAGAGCCAGAGCGGCTGCCCTGTGTTGGGGGAGAGGGGGCAATAAAGCACTGCTCCCTGGCAGGGTTGGGGCGGGGCGGGGGGGGGGGGGGCCCCCCGGGCGGGGGGGGGGGGGGGGGAGCCGGCTCACCTGGCGAGTCTTGGCCGACGTCTCGATGTACGGGATGCCGTAGCTGCGGGCAAGGTCCTGCGCCTGCCGGGACTCCACGGTGCGCGCGGCCAGGTCACACTTGTTCCCCACCAACACCATGGGCACGTCATCGGAGTCCTTCACTCGCTTGATTTGCTCCCTGCAAGGAAGGAGGTGTGATCCAGTCACGGGCTGCAGGCATAGCTGCATCCAGGACCTTGAGAGCAAAAAGAGAGAAAGACGGAGAGAGAGAAAGGGACAAAAAAAGGGAAAGAGGGAACAGGGAGGGCCCCTGGGGGCCGGCAAGCAGCTCACCTGTACTGGTGGATGTCCTCAAAGGACTTGGTATTGTTGATGGCAAACACACAGAGGAAGCCTTCTCCAGTGCGCATGTACTGGTCCCGCATGGCGCTATACTCCTCCTGGCCCGCCGTATCCAAAATGTCCAGTAGGCACGTCTCGCCATCAATAACCACTTGCTTCCGATAGGAGTCCTGCAGAGGACAGCGCTTAGGGACCACCCCACCTCTCCTAGGAGGAGCCGAGCAAAGCAGCAGCCCCTCCCGGGGCCCCACCCATGCCCCGCCCCTAGGCATCGGGAGGGAGGGAGGCAGACAGAAGAGGAACCCACATCAGGATGGAGGGCTGGGAACAGGGGCAGCACCGCTCACCTCGATGGTGGGGTCATACTCGTCCACGAAGTGGTTCTGGATGAGCTGGATGGTCAGGGCACTCTTCCCCACACCTCCAGCGCCCACCACCACGAGTTTATATTCCGTCATCGTTCCTCAGGGGATCGAGGCACACGGTACCCTCCGGGGTGGTCTCCTGTCCCACCTGCCGAGGAAGCCGCGTTCAGCCACAGGCCAGGCCCCACAGAGCAGGCCTGTTGAGCTCCCTGGGCTGGCCCGTCCCACCCTCTGGCCCCAGACAACCAGGTAACAGGGGTGGCAGCCAGAATGGAGGCCCAGCCGCCCACCTGTGGCACCTCCAGCCCAGGGGTGGGAGACGGGCCCCGCCTCCAGCTGCAGGTAATGGCTGTCAGAGAGGCAGGGAGCTGGCCCCCCAAAGGCAGGGCTGACAGCTGAGAGCATCTCCCAACCACGCACCCGAATTAGAAGTTGCTGGGTAGGCAGAAAGCCTGAACCGGAGGCCCTGCAGGCGGCGGTTCCCAGTTCCCCTCCCTGCGAAAACAGGTCTTGCCACCGTGGAGCGCCCAGCAGCGTGCCCAGGCAGGCCAGTGCCCGCCTACAACCCGCTCCGGGCCCCACGGAGCGTGTTGCTGCATTTGACAAGTATTTACTGAGCGCCTACTGTATGCCAGCTGCTGCTCCGGGCGCACGGTGACAGGCAGACAAGAACCCCCTGCCCTCTGTGGGCTCTGCCCGCACTGCAAGGAGACCGGCACACGTTAAAATAACGGGAAAACCCCGGTATCCTGTTGCCGTACGAACTTTGGAGAAAAGAAAGCAGATGAGGCAGCCGGGTGGGGGTGGGGGTGGGGGTGGGAGGTGGGGGGAGGGTTCCCGATACGCAGCTGACTGAGAGGAACAGACCCAAACGACGTGTGCAGCGGGCGCACAGGTGACAAAGAACGAAGGCCAGGGCCAAGGCCTCCGGCTGGGGTGCCCCAGCCTGTGCGGTTTCACGAGCGGACGCCCTTGCGCGGACAGCGGGCAGTGATTTCCTGCACCCCGGCTCGCCGGCTGCGCGTGATGGCCGCCTGGTGCCGGAGCACTCGGGGGGCAGCCTCGCGACCGGAGGGCGGGCGACCCCGCGACGGCCGCGGCCCCGCGCAGGGCAGGGCCGGGGACGCGGACG